GAGCTGAAAAACATTCTCATTCATCTAAGATTAATTTGGATGAAGCAACTGGATCGAATCCTGACAAAAGAAGGGAAACTGGGGGCACTGACTTTAATGCTCATTCATCGAAGATTCATTTGAATGAAGCAACTGGATCAATTCCTAACAAAAGAAAGGTAACTATTGCCAACAAAAGAAAGAAAACTAAGGGAGCTGATTTTCGTTCTCATTCATCTAAGATGCATTTGGGTAAATTGGACTGGGCTGCAACTCGGCACTTGTGGTTAGGCTCGGATGATGAATAGCCTCTAGTTCCGTTTCATATCAAATTCAGATGATTATCGGATTAATACTCGGGTAAGTGGATGACAAGAATTTTAACTGTTCTGCATAGCTGTTATTTCTGCTTTTGATGTCAACTGTCTGGTGTAAATAGTGGCAGGAAAACTTGCAAGTATTGTAGTAGTTTAAACAATAAATGGAGATTGATTTTGAGGATCAAACTTTAGAAATGCTGAACTAGATGCATTTTCGAATAAAAATAATGATGCAGAGTTGGCTTGTTACTTATGCATGACTTAATGCTTAATGGTTTCTGTGTCCAGAACCTGGATATGGTAATGTGGTGTATCAAATATATAATCAGTGAAGAATCCAGGATCTAAGTTCAACTAGGACGGACCTTAACTGTGGACCGTCGACAATCAATGATTGTCGTTTATTAATATTTAATTCAATAATATTAAAAATTATTCAATATATATACACTAAAATGTAAAAATTATATGCATATAAGAATATAATTCAATACAACACAAAATATTAAAAACTTACACGATACAATCAAATTCAGCGAATCATTCTTTACGTAAACACCTATTATCATTTTCCATCGATCTTCTTGAAAAATCATGTCCATGTGATTGACAAGAACATTTTTCTAAGTATGTCATCATATGACTCGATATGGAGCGTTTCTCTGGATCATATACAATATTATTCACATTAAATTGAGCTCGAGACTTTTTCGTATTATTTAACACATCATGTGTTCGACTAGAAGCAGTGTCGGGACTAGATGCATAATTAGAACTAGAAGAAATAGGTATGGGCTGTTGTTTCAATTGAAAAAATTGTTCCATAATTTGAAAAATGTCTAAAATTTATTTTTCAATTATAATTGATTAAAAAACAGAGTACATGTTGAATTGAACCAAATATCTTCTCAATTGATTTTTTTCACTTATCCTTATTTCCTAAACAAAAATTCTCAAATCACAAATCAAAACTCATAAATGATAAATTACAATTCATAACTCAATAACTCATACAACATAAATGATTTATCCTAAATCTCATATTCACAATTCTCATTTTAATGTCAATTTGCCAATTAACTCATAAAGCATAAATCATGATTCACAAGTCATAACTCATAAATAAAAAATAACATCAAAACCAAAGAAAAAATATGAGCGACTCAGTGCTCACGGGTCTGAGTCGTTCGACTCTTCGGGGGAGGCTTGAAGCCCAGCACGGGAGGTCCGAGTCTTGAGTCGTTTGGTTCGAAGTCTGTCGGGCGGTGACTCGTTGACGTCGTCTGGAAGTTGGAACTCCTATGAGGGTTTGAACTTTGAAACCGATCGTATGTTTTTCCTTCTCGTCTATGCCTTCAATTTGGTTTTGGTATATATCATGTATGGGTCATTGGATCAATTAAAAAAAAGGAAAAATTTATCTCCTATTTTTACTATATACTATTTCAAAAATAAGAAAACAACTTTCAAATTTATAAAATCAGATATTTGACATATACATACACTATATATATATATAACCCACCTCATCTCTACCACCCCTACCGCTCCAGCGACCGTTTCGTTGACTACTCCGATTCCTGCGACTATTTCGATGACCGTTCCGGTGACTTCTCCGATTTCGACGACTTCATAGATTCCAGTGACTTCTCTGATGACCGTTCCGGCGACTATTTCAATAAATGTGACATGTATTTTTGAACCGTGACTCTACAAACAATGTAACATGTTAATATTGATTTTTTGTCACAATATTTTTATAGGTCACACGGTCACAGACTTCCAAATTAGTTGGTCACATATTTTTTTCACGGACACAGATTATATAATTTTTAGGCCATAGATAACAAAATAGTTGGTCACTGATTATCGAATTTTAAGGTCAAAGATTATATTTTTAGTCACAGAAGGTCACACAAACACAGATTTTCAAATTATTTGGCCACAGATTTTTTCACGGTCACAGATAACGAAATGGTTACTCACAGATTATATTTTTATTCACATGATATTGAATTTTAAGGTTACGGATTATATTTTTAGTCACAGAAAACCAAAATGACCAGATCTACCACCACCACATCTGCACTATCGCCACGATCACTACCACGGCCTCTACGACAACTACCACAACCAACATCACCACCACCCAAACAACATGATAATCAGTATTTACATCGCCATTTCCAAAACCAGCACCAGATCCCACCAGATCTGCCACCACAGTTACAACTACAGAATCGTCGCCGCACAAAACACCACCACCTTATTGTCACACCACCAACACTGTCTCCAATCTGAAACACACAAACATAAAAAAAAAAAAAAAAAGAAGAAGAAAACCCAAAAAGCCAACACCGCACTACCTCCACCACCAACACCCGCTAGATCTGCCACCACCAGATCTACCATCATCTCCAAAACTGTACCGTCACACATAAAATCGGTATGTAAAGGTAAACACAAAAATGGATTAGCTTCATAAACAAAGAAAAAAGAACGAGAAATTAGGGTCTTAAAATCGAGGTGGGGTGGAGTGGGATGGGATGGGGTGGGGTGGGATCACAGAGGAAAGAACAGTTGCGGCGATGGTTGTGGCGGCTGTTGCTTCAGATCGACGCCACCATCACCTCGACCACCATTTTCAGCCACCACCGGTCCATCATCGCAGCACCGTTGACGACCGCTACTTCAATCGTCCTGACGACAACGAGAGATATGAGAGCAGCGAGAGAGATGAGAGGTAGAGACTAGAGAGAGAACGTGTTTGGGGGAAATAAGGTGTGTGAAGGGAGGTAGGGTTGATTTCTAAATTAATTAAATTTAATAATATATTTATTTGATAATAATTATAATGTATCTAATTAAAAAATATCTGATTTTTGAAAATTAAAACTTCAGATCTGATTTTAGAATATAGATCTTGAAAAGTAGGGAATTGTGTAATTTTTTTCCACTTTAAGAAAAGGCTACAAGTTGTGAATAAGTCCAAACTAAAAGGTCAAACTAAAAAAAACCCAAACAACCAAACCTCACAAGTCGCCATTCACCTTCTTCCTTCTACCGTCCACTGTTTCGGCGAAGCCCCAGCAAGGCCCCTTGCTATGTGCTAAGTCCATCGCTGTATATAATATTGCCTAGATTGGGGTTACTTATTTTTTTAATTTCATCAATTTAGTAATATTTATTTACTTTAAAAGCATGTTTTTAAGTGTCTAAGTATTCTACATAGAGCAACTTCAAGAGATTCTCTATTTTTAAAAAGTATATTTTGCAATTTAGAGATCATTTATAAATTTAGAGAGTAAAATTTTTAAGTACTTCAACAGACTCTTTATATTTGATATTGAATTTTACTACTACAAAAATATACTTACTGTTTTTCTCAATTTTTTTATTTTCACTAGTTTCCCTTTAAATTATTGTATTATTTTCCTTCATGGAAAATTGAAATACTTTAAATGTATTTAATTATAAAAAGTNGGGCCCACTCATGCACACGCAAGCTTGATCCAACACGCTGATACCGATCAACGGTCAAGATGGCTCCAGGAAAGGGGCGTGGGAGTGGCTAAAAGGCACGAGACGTTTCCGTTCAGGCCACCGGCAAGAAAATGTAATACGATTGTATAAGAAACCAATCGATAAAGGACGATTTGTAGTATAAATCCGTTGTAAAAATCATTGTTAAAGTGAGAGAAATATTGCTCCAAAATATTCAGTTTGCTCTTCAATTTTGCATTATTCCTTTTGTGTTACATGGTGGGGGTATTTATAGCGTTACAACTCAAATGGTGACCTTTGGATCAATTTACACGTGGCCTTATCTCCTCGGCCAAGACGTCAAATCCTAGCAATCAAGTTGACTTTCCTAACTTTACAAAACATTAAATGCTCTTACATTTACAAG